ATAAAACGAATGTTGCAAGAGGCAAATCTTTTACTGGTTCACGAAGTCATCCAAACCTTAAATTAATATCGAAGGGAAGTAGTACGATCAAACGCTACCAAAACTAAACCTAAATACATCAATTTATTTTGCCTAAATTTAATTAGCTTCGATTTTCCGGGAGACTTTAATAACATTGTCGTTTAAGAATAGAATAAAACCTGATACACTAATCAGCGGATAAAAAATAAAAGATATTAAAATGCCGTTTTGGAGGCAATCCGAGCTTTATTTCAAAGCTTCTAATCATGAAAATTAATAATAAATTTTCAATCTCTTTATTGCATCGTAATTACCAAGAGATAATAGACGATTAAGCAAATTCAGTTGAAGTTAAGGGTTGCAACCAGGGCTAATAACGTCGTTTGCATTTATGATCGCTAAGGAATAAGATCCAACATTTCTATTGGAATTAATCAATTTGCAAGCCCATATTTAGTAGTATTGATTCGGCCACTACCATCAGCAATCGTAGATGATTCGAAAGTGCCTCAAAAGTAACGTACTAAAGTGAAGATAAAGTCGTGGACTAAGAAATAAAGGTAATATGAGATTTATTCACCCTATTTCGTTTAAGGTGATAAAGGACTGGTAGTAGAATTTTCCCACAATAATATGAGTAGAGCTCACGTTTCCATTAAATTTAACATAGCCTTGTCTTCCCAAAAGTTGTTCTCATCCAGGGTGGACTGCAGTTACGACCTCGCCTAGGTCTTATCAACACCCCCAGCGGGAGTCGAACCGTGACGGTGCAGAATCTGAGCTTAACACGTTAACCACATTGCCACGAGTGCCCTTGGGTCACAGGGCAGATGTGAATTTAAATGAAGGCCAGGCCTTTTGTGGCCGAGTGGTTAACGTCTCAAGCTCACATTCTGCCGTTACGGTTCGGCTCCCACTAGGGGTGTTGATAAGACCTATGCGAGGTCGAAACTGCAGTCCATCTTGGAGGAGAACAACATTTGGGAACAAAAGGCTTTGTGAAATTCAATGGAAACGTGAGCTCTACTCATATCATTGTGGGAAAATTCTACTACCAGTACTTCATAACCTTAAACGAAATAGGGTGAATACATCTCATATTACTGATTTAGTGGTAGTCTCGAAACTCCACTTAAAACCGAAAAATAAGAAATAAAGGTTTTAATCTTGCTGGGATTGTTGAATTAACCCATAAGAGGTTGAAACTGCAGAAAACATTAAGTTAAGGTCTCTTGAGATGCAAGTGCAGGGGTATTTGTGTGCTAGCATTAAAGAAGATTTGCCTAAGAAATAAAATTAATTTACGAACAATATACCAAGGTACACCACTTTCACATTCAGAGATAGCATTCTAATTTTTATCGCAGATCAGTTGTTTCGAGCTCATTAATTAGTTATAGGATCTATTTTTTGGAATCACGCAAAAAAATGAGAATTCTGAAAGCGAATGAAGATCCTAAATTGTTATATAATGTGATCATTGAGTAACCTAGACCTGTTTGTGTCAAGCTATTAATGAATGCCAATTATAGTCATTTCGAATTATAAATAGTACGAAACACAGCTTATCGTCATATTTCGAATTATGTTGGATACAATATTCGTTGCATAAGAATAGGAATCCAGATGGTAAATGTAATGAGTACAAGGTCAAGGCAACTTTAAATTCCAAGTTATTAGAATCTCAATTTTGGATAGTCCGACGATCCACTGATTATAGAATTAAGTGGGGAAAAAAAGAATCTTAGTAATCTAGTTTCACCTATTCAAGTCAAGGTATTTAAATGCTGAGTTTCATAAAAAGCAGAAAAATATTCCGGCCAATAATACGGTTTTTTAATGTCCTAATTCCATTTAAATGACAAGTTAAGACTTGATGGGAAGAAATAAAACACTAACAAAGAGGATCAATGGATAACGTCTAATACAAAAGTAAATGCTGATACCAACCTGAGCCTCTCTTCTCTTCTTCCGCCTCAAATTTTTATTTTTAATTGAGTCATCTGTCGCTTCGTCTGCCCTTTTTTTAGATGGAATTAGTTTGGGGAACTTCACTTCACCATCATCTTCAGGCATCTCTCCGTCAGACAGATGTTCGTTCATATTGCCGAAATCAAAATCGTCATCGTCATAATCCGATTCATTTTCTTCAGCCAAAACTTCAGGTAAGGCGCGTCGATGTACTCGACGACGCATGGATCTAGATGCATGAATAACGAGCTCATTTGCCGCGTCAAGGTCATATTGTTCATCCTCTGAGTCTTGACAGTTCGATTTTTGGGATATATCTAAAATCTCTTCAATTTCTTCTTCATTGCTGTCACTGTCACCATCTAAACAACGCCGATTCCCCTCTTCCTCTTCAGGCAAGGCCCCAAGAAGCGCATCTCGGACTGTACGGGGATCCAGTCTTGGTGGTCGATGTTTGTGGATGCGAGGGACAGTTTGCGCTGGGGGTGGATCATCAACATCACTGCTAGCAGCAGTGCTTGCGCCGCTACTGGAAAGGGCAAGATAGCGACCGAGCTAGACGAAAATAAGCAAGGGGGAAGCGAATAAATGGGGAAAAGAATAGGCTAAGGATACGAGTTAAAAATGTATGCATCAGGAAAGATCATTGAGAAATATAAATGCCGAAAATTTCCTTGATTATAGTGTTGATTCAACCTCGTTTTCACAATTTTGTCGAAGCGTCAGGGAGATCTTGTGGAATGTACCGAGTCGTGTACCCTCTGTCATAATATTCGTGATTTCCAGCACGTATAATGGTATCTCTGGTGCTCAGACCAAATTGTGAAATCGAGGTCGAATCAATACTATAAAGCTAAGGGAGACTGTCACCACCACCCTGGTCTTTATATCTACGCTCCATTGATTATCTTTTAGAAGGGCCAAACATTTTTGGCGTAGTGTTTAAGGAGCGTGTGATCACAATCAATTTATAAGTTGACGTAATTTCGTTAGAAATACAGTCATCTATATCAAAAGTGCGTGCTAGTCCAGAGTTTACTGCAGTTTCGGCACCGCTCATTTCTCAAAAACATTCATAAAACAAATCTGACTCAGGGTACGAGAATCCAAAGGATTAAAAGCAACTCTCGAGGCAGCCTTAGTATCATCATCATTATTATATCGTTATATAGAAATAATTATTACGAAATGGTGTATATACCATACAGGAACATTTAGGCTAAATTTAAGTATAGAAATTGTTTGACCTTGTTTTCGCAAGTTGGTCATATTTACAGGAAGACCAAGAGAAACACACCTCAATCGGAGTCCATAGTATGCATGACAATTTCCAGCGTCTGACCATATACGTGGTACATTCTCAGATGTTTCGCCGGCATCGTCAGTGAGCTTTGCCAGTCTTAGCGCCACACAACAACTCGTCAAAGCGACAAATGAAGCCGATCCTTTGACCAAATGTGTGCTAAACAGTTGTGATATCTCTCCTTCTCATGGGCTATTCACCTATCCTATACCCTTGTATCACCCATTCAATATCACAATTTATTACTTGTTTATCTAAAGCTATTTGAAAGCCATTCACACTCCCCATTGGTTTCCATATCCCTCCCACTGTGCCGGAAGTGTTGATCCAAGACTGAGGTTTAATCCGCAATTCTATTCTTTCTGGTTCTATCAGAGTCTATTCTAGCTCAGTAGGATCCTTCCGTTATCTGCCTGTTTCACTGATTTCACTACATCGCTGCCACCGTATCTGTGCTACTTTCAAGGCGTTGTTCTACACTCTGTCTCAAGACTTTGAAGGCACCTATACCATACCCTCATTGAGCAAGCCCCTAAAGTCTGAATTCTTAATTGGTATGACAACTTGACTTGACGCTGCAGATTCCCTTATTGCTATGCGGCGTGCGCACCAAGACGATCTCGTGGTTAAGCCCTTACTTCATGAACCACATCTATAAGCAAGCTTATCTAATAATAGCCAACTACCGTTTCTCTCGCTCTTCTATGACATTCTATTGCGTGCCAACCCCCCAAATACGATGGTTTTACTTGATTTGAATAGACTCACTGTAGACATCTTCTCTTGGTTTCCTATTGTTCCTCTCTGGTCTTCTTGTAATTTATTTTCCTAAAATTAAAAGTATTACCTTTATTCAGTAGTCTTCCTTTTACTGATATTCCTGTTCTCTGATATTCTCCAAGTTTGTTTAGGCAGTATGCAAAGTTTTCGCCAATCCTGTCTTATTCAGGTCTCCTGTTCGTTAGGTTTCTTTAGTCAGGATATCGATGGATTCTCGTATCTTACTTTTTATTTTATTTCCACCATATGCAACCAGCCTTTGTGTCAATTTCTACTCCGTGTCATGTGTTCCGCTATTTCAGATCTTTAAGTGTCCACCTTTTTACAGTATTTGGTTATCCTTGATTCGTAGGTTATTTTTTCTTCCTGTTTCAATAATATACTTATGCTCATAGTTGCCGCATTTGATGCTATAGACTCCCAA